TTGCACTGGAAAGTACGGGATAGCAGCAGCATCTAACTTCCTCTCAAACAAATCCAGATGAATTCTTATTAAACAAACAATGCAGTTTAAGTAAAGGTAAAGGGACCCCTGACCGTTAAGACCAGTCGCGGACGACTCTGGGGTTGTGGCGCTCATGTTGCGTTACAGGCCGAGGGAGCCAGTGTTTGTCCGCAGACAGCTTCTGGGTCATTCTGGTGAAACCAGAGCAGCGCACAGAAACGCCATTTACCTTCCCGCCGGAGCGGTACCTATTTATCTACTTGCACTTTGTTGTGCTTTCGAACTGTTAGGTTGGCAGGAGCCGGGACCGAGCAATGGGAGCTCACCCCGGCGCCGGGATTCGAACCGCCGACCTTCTGATCGGCAAGCCCTAGGCTATCAGCTCAATAAATACTTTGGAAGTGCTATTTGAGGACATGGAGGGGAACAGCAGGTAGGGATTTTCAAGCAGGAAACCAGCATGAGACTCCAATCCAATTCAATGCATTTCTGATCAGAGGTCCATAAATAGCTTTTCCTCCAAAGGAATACTGACCAGTTTGAAGCATACTTCTAATGAAAAAAAGTGTGTTTATTGTGCTTGATTTGGTCCTACATAGATGTTTGGTCCTGCCATAGATGTGAAGAGGCAGGGAAAAGGAGAATATGAATTGAAATCATTTTGATTCTAGCAGATCTGTATACCCTGTTTGCCTTATGGCATTACCTCTCACCTAGAAACCCACTGTTTTTTCCACCTTTGAACTCTTCACCTATCTTTATCAACCAATTAAGTGCTTAAAACAAGATTACGACTTGCCCATCTGCATCTCTGCCCTCTCTGTTTTGTGAAAGAATTAAGAAAGTAGAGCAAGCGGTCAGATTAAAAAGGAAGTAGAAAAAATGCCGGTAACCTGACAATAATTTCAAGACAGGAAAAAGGATTATTTCTGAAGAAGAAGAAGAAGAAGAAGAAGAGTTTGGATTTGATATCCCGCCTTTCACTCCCTTTAAGGAGTCTCAAAGCGGCTAACATTCTCCTTTCCCTTCCTCCCCCACAACAAGCACTATGTGAGGTGAGTGGGGCTGAGAGACTTCAAAGAAGTGTGACTGGCCCAAGGTCACCCAGCAGCTGCATGTGGAGAAGCGGAGACGCGAACCCGGTTCCCCAGATTACGAGACTACCACTCTTAACCACTACACCACACTGGCTCTCAAAGATCAAATAGGTTAACATTATGATTAGGAAAGAGATGTGAAAATGAAGCAAATATAGGCCCCAAACTAGGAACTGAAATTCAGTTTGAAACTCAAGCATCCTATGAAATTTGCACTTCCCTGAATTTTGCAGAACAGTCCTCCAACCAATAAATGTGTACAACAATGCATATACTAGGGTAAAGTGTGCATCAGATGCACATGAAATAAAAAAATAAAAAAATTGTCCAGTAGCACCTTATAGACCAACTAAGTTTGTTCTGGTATAAGCTTTAATGTGCATGCACACTTCTTCAGGGACACGGGTGGCGCTGTGGGTTAAACCACAGAGCCTAGGACTTGCTGATCAGAAGGTCAGTGGTTCGAATCCCCACGACGGGGTGAGCTCCCATTGCTCGGTCCCTGCTCCTGCCAACCTAGCAGTTCAAAAGCAAGTCAAAGTGCAAGTAGATAAATAGGTACTGCTCCGGCGGGAAGGTAAACGGCGTTTCCGTGTGCTGCTCTGGTTCGCGAGAAGCAGCTTAGTCATGCTAGCCACATGACCCGGAAGCTGTACGCCGGCTCCCTCGGCCAATAAAGCGAGATGAGCGCCGCAACCCCAGAGTCGGCCACGACTGGACCTAATGGTCAGGGGTCCCTTTACACTTCTTCAGATTTATCTACCTGAATCTAAGATGCATATATTAGTGAAAAGAACATAGAAAAACAAATTCTATTATGGGAAAATGCTTTACAAAAATGTGTATGTTAAGCAAAAAAATGCATGCCAAATATGTATAGTAGGAGAAATTTGGGCAAAACTGCTGATGAGTTTTCATGGGGACTTTTTTCTTTTTTTAAAAAAAAATCAAACTGATATGGAAATGTGGAAAACTGACCTTAAGAGTGGGGAAAACGAGAAACCAAAGTGGACAGATTCACCCACCCCTATTGAAATTCTTATTGTCCATTTTTAAAAGACTATTTTAAAGTTAACCATTATCTACAAACCTTAAAAAAAGCCCTACTCTTAGTCAGAGTGAGACAAGACTTTAGGTGGCAAATGCTGCATTGTGGCAATAGCAGAAGCCCTTGGGCTTCTCTCCTCGAGTCCGACAGTCGGTCCTCTCTATCTGAGGTCACAGCTAGGCATGCCCCATGTCCTGTCCTGGGCCCCCTAAACTAGCCTGCTGCCTCAAGTGTGATAGAGGGTGCTCATCAAACATTTCTCCAATATCCTGTAGGCTTCCTGATCTCAAAAAGCCCCAGGAGAGGCATTACCTTATGACATCTTCCCTGAAATCTATTTGACATGTGAGCAGCTGGTGTCTGTGGGCCTACCAAGCACCTGAGATCACTGGTGGTTTTGCTTCTACACTGGTGGTTTTGCTTTTAACTTTTTTTTTTAAAAAAAAAGAAAATTAATTACCATATTTTTCCGTATGTAAGACACCCCCATGTATAAGGCACCCCCTATTCTGGGGGACTCCAAATTAAGAAAACACCCCCTTAGGACTACCTGTGTATAAGACAAGCCCCAATTTTAAAATTTTAAAGAGATGGTGTAAGAAGATTGGAAGAAGTTTAAAGAATATATGAACAAAATATGTTAATATTTAAATCTTAGAATTGCTTTGGACGTGGTTATAGGCTGTAGGGTTAGAAGCAGAAGATAGTGTATCTTAAAATAGTATTATTTGTAAGTGATAAAATGTGAAGATTCTTATGGTAAAAGTAAGTGTGATAAAAATGTGGTTAGAAATTATGATATATGTAATCTGCTAAAGATGAGGTAAAATGAAAATCAGATAGGGGGGACTTGAGGAAGCTCACCTAACAATGTTTAGAAAAAAATAAGGATAAGACAAGAATTTGTTTGTATTGTTTGTTTTTCTGTTTGTGTTGTTTAAAAAGGTAAAGGTAAAGGTACCCCTGCCCGTACGGGCCAGTCTTGACAGACTCTAGGGTTGTGCGCTCATCTCACTCTATAGGCCGGGAGCCAGTGCTGTCCGGAGACACTTCCGGGTCACGTGGCCAGCGTGACATCGCTGCTCTGGCGAGCCAGAGCCGCACACGGAAACACCGTTTGCCTTCCCGCTAGTAAGCGGTCCCTATTTATCTACTTGCACCCGGGGGTGCTTTCAAACTGCTAGGTTGGCAGGCGCTGGGACCGAACGACAGGAGCGCACCCCGCCGCAGGGATTCGAACCGCCGACCTTTCGATCGGCAAGTCCTAGGTGCTGAGGCTTTTACCCACAGCGCCACCTGCGTCCCTTGTGTTGTTTAGTTGTGTTATAAAATGGGAAAAAAAATGGGGGGGGGGACGGACTCCTATATCAGGAATGGGGAATATGTGGCCCCTCAGGTATCTTTAGACATCAACTCCCATTCACCACAGTCAGCAATGATGGGCGTTATTAGTATAAAAATATCCATTGGGTTCCAGGTTCCAGCCTGGTCTTAGCTCCTTGCTCCTCCGTGGTTTGTTGCAGCAGACATCACCTGCGGCCACTGCAGTTTCATTCTATTAGTTCCTCAGCCCAGTGAGCAAAAATAAGCCTAAAGGGAAGCCAGCTTGGTTTTAACATTGATTCTCAGAAGAATAACTTGCCGAAGCAGAATCATGCATAGGGAGAAAAAAACTGAGAAGACTGATACACTTGGCTCATTGCACATTGACCACAGATTGAAGTCTGTTTTATTTATTGGGGCGGCAGAAGGCAAATATTCACAAAGGGATGTCAGCCTTGTTAATGTCATCAGCATGACCACAAAGGAGGATGGGATCTATTGTAGGAGAGAGGATCTGCGTGGATCAGAAACCTCCCCCCTAAATAAATTCACACTTGACTCAAATTTTGGTTTTTGGCAGAATTTAGGCCACAACTTTATTGATTACAGAAAGTGACTGGTTGCATAGGCTCTGGTTCGACTAGCTCCCTGTCATGCAGGTAGCGCTGAGCCAGGGTTCCAGCATAGGTCAGCCAAGGGTGAACACCTGGATAAGTGGAAAGCCGGGAACAGGCTATCTCTGCCACCCAAATGTCCCCCTGGACTCAGGCACAGGCACAACCCTCTCTCAGGGGTTGACCAAACCATCGAGTCCCTGGATTCTTTAACGGAATACGCTTCACATAGGGATGGCGAGAGCGTTCTCCCATCCCTATAACCTGAACCAGAGCCTATCTGCAAGTTGTGACGATTTGCTACGCAGCAGGCGAAACCCAAATGGCAACAGCCAAACAGCCAAGTGGGGGAAATTCCTGCCATGCCCCTGTCTCAATGACAGATGACACACGACGGCATAGCAAGGTCAAGCGCAAAGCCCTAAAAGTAGGGAGAGGTGGGCGGGTGTTCCGAATGCACACACCAAAAGAGGAAGCTCTGGGTCACGTGCATGGGCATAAATAGGTCCCTCGAACCGTTTGGACTGCGTCCCATTGGCCAGATTGCACCCAGCTACGAGGGACCTACCAATCGGGTGTTGTGGCTGACCAGTTATACCCACCCACAACACAGGCTGTCGGTTTTCCAGGTCTCACCTGTAAGAGGCAACATGCCCTAATAATATCCTAACAAGTTCCATGTAAGCGCATGATAAGTATACAGGAAGGAGGGGCTGTCACTGTGGCCAAGCTGACAACCGAGACATTTATAATGTGCTTTTGACATCACCGGCTAAAATAAAAAATGCTAAATGATAACACATTAATAATGTTTGCTATTATTGTGAAAATATTTATAAACGCTGTGCATTTTCTGGTTTTTAAGTGACAAACCATCTCTCCAAGAAGTGTGACAACTTTTTTTTTTAATTAAATGAAAGTTTATTTCAGTATTCAAATTAGTCTCATAGCTGCTTGGGGAGGGAAGATGGGCCGAGGATACAGGGCAAATGAGAACGCTTGGCCTCCTCTGAGATGGAGGGGGTCGAGAGAGAGAAATGAGCAGCCTTTGCCTTCACTCATGCATTCAAATGTTTACTATGACTAGAAATTGACAGCAAAGGAAAGACTCTTGCTCCTGTTTAATCCAGGTTAATGCTATACATCTTTAAATACACAATTCAAAAGTTTACATTACGTCATGCAGTCCCTGTGGTGGAATGACACACTGGCCTTGTTGTCTTGTGTTGGCATCACAATGCTCAGAGCATGGCGCTTAGGTAGGACAGAGAACTGGAAGAAGAAGAAGAAAAGAACCAAGTCAATGCAGAACAGGGAATTTCGAGATGATGAGTGCAATTTTTGTGAATGTGAATAGCATCTCTCAGAAACTTATTGGGTTGGAATGACTGGTCTTGCAACTCCAGTGTCCCCAGTTAAAAGAATTCAGGTTGCAAGCCTGGGAGAGATCTTGACCTCAGAATGCAGACAGTTGTTGGAGTCAGAGTAGACTAGGCATCCCCAGACTCGGCCCTCCAGATGTTTTGGGACTACAATTCCCATCATCCCTGACCACTGGTCCTGTTAGCTAGAGATGATGGGAGTTGTAGTCCCAAAACATCTGGAGGGCCGAGTTTAGGGATGCCTGGAGTAGACCATACTAGACCGTATAGATCAATGGTCTGAGCTGGTATAAGCAGGTTATTCTGTCCCTTGATTGTTAAGGAGGGAGCCATAGCTCACAAAATGTCCCTGGTTCAGTTCCTGGTCTTTCCAGTTTAAAACAGCAAGGAACAGATGGAGAGAAAGATCTTTCTGGGCCTGAGACACTTTTGAGAGCTACTACCAGTCAGGCAATTTTGTTTCGAATGGACCAATGACCTCTGTCTCAGTATAAGATGCTGCTGCTGCTGACGCTTACCTTTTAAAATGTAGTCGGTTAGCAACGTCGGGACCTTTTCGTTGTCCTCCTTCATTGCAAAAAGAACTGCAGGAAGAAATTGTTGAAAATAATAATTAGTAGGTCATGCTGAAGGGCAGCTCACTTCCGTATCAACCTGGAGAGTCATGTGCTTTAAATGTGTTTTATGCTGTGTACACAGTCATATATTGATCATAGCTAATGAAGGGACAGATGTCCTGTACAACGCGGAAAACTGACAATCCTATTAATGGCTTACTTAGCATAGCAGTTAAATTCAGTCCTTCTTGAGATTTCACTCCTATGTGAATGAGCTTTTAAGAGCAATACCGGTAGGTAGGAAATCAGCCCAAAATGAGAGAATTTTGAGAAATACAGTTTCTACAAATTCTCATATAATTTGTCTGGCTCCAGCAAGACTCTTCTTACGCTCACCTCTTGGACTAATGTGCAAGTCAGAAGTTAGCTGTGTTATAGATTTTGAACTTCTCCAAATGTTGTGATGAGGGATGGGGGGAAGAAATTCAATGCAGTTTGCATTCAAAGGTGAATCTACCTAATTTGAAGTTTCCAAAACAATATGTGAACTGAGAACACAGTCATTATTGTAAATGTGCACTTCTCTGAATATTTCAATGCAGTTTTCAGCCAAGCAATGTGTACAAAAAAAATGCATATATACAGATGTCAGGGGCTCAGGAGCAGAGGCACAGGGGAGAGAGGAAATGGAGAGCGAAGGGGAAGAATCTGAGGGCAGAATGACAGTGACCCGAGAGATTCCATGAGCCTCTCCAGTGAATCAGAAGATTCCCAGAAGGGGGCGCCGATGGCCAGGGCAAGGGGGTCCCAGGGGGACACACCAGAAGCAGGGGGCCAGCAGAGACTCCCAAAGCAGTAGCTGGAAATCAGGACCAGCTTCCCCACCAGAGCGTAGTGGGGGGGAAGAGCCCCATAGGTCAGAGTCAGCGTCTCCTCCAGGAAGCAGGGAGGAGGAGTCAGGTCCAGCTAGCATCCCCGAAGAGGGAAGCAGCGACAGGAGCAGTATAACGGTCAGAAGGAAAGTGGCAGGCTGGGCGCGCGCGCCAAGTTCAAATGTACAGGCGCGCGGGACAGCAGAAAACCCGGATTGGGAAGCAGGTCCTAAAGCCCGCCGGAGGGAGGGGGAAGACTCAGGGGACTCAGCGTCAGAAGAGTCTAGGAAGGGCAAGACTTCGGCGGACAAGAGGACCCAGAGGAGGAGGGAGCAGAGGAAAAGGTGGAGCAAGGCTAGGGTCTTAAACTGGTGTCTGGGGGGAGGAGACTCAGACGGAGCTTCGGCGGTCTAAGGTTTAAGACGTAGAGCTGCGCGCCGTGGCTGTAAAAGAGAAACTGAACTTCAATAAAGACTATTTCATATAACAACGGACTGGCGTTGGTCCTCTGTGAGCTGGGACCTGAGGCAGCTCGGACAACAGACAAAATGTGCATTTTAAAATATACATTTATAAAATAGTGAAAATAACATACAAAAATGCATTATATTAGCAGAAACTCCTTTGCAAAATTGTGCACATCAGGCATAAAGGTAAAGGGACCCCTGACCATTAGGTCCAGACGTGACCGACTCTGGGGTTGCACGCTCATCTCGCTTTATTGGCTGAGGGAGCCGGCGTACAGCTTCCGGGTCATGTGGCCAGCATGACTAAGCCGCTTCTGGCGAAACAGAGCAGCGCATGGAAATGCCGTTTACCTTCCCGCCAGAGCGGTACCTATTTATCTACTTGCACTTGACGTGCTTTCGAACTGCTAGGTTGGCAGGAGCAGGGACCGAGCAACGGGAGCTCACCCCGTCGCGGGGATTTGAACCGCCGACCTTCTGTTCGGCAAGTCCTAGGCTCTGTGGTTTAACCCACAGCGCCACCCGCGTCCCTTTTTACATTAGGCATAATTGCATACAAAAATGGATATGTTTGGAGAACTTTGCACTAAATTGATGGTGAATTTCCATGCAGATTTTAAAAGGAATTCGCAAACAGATGTGGAAATGAGAACCAAATAAGATTGGAGAAATAATTTTAAAAAAACTGAGAGAAACTGCAGCTGACTGATTTGCTCATCCCTAGCTGTAACACAGTTCTTGAAAGTTCAAACCTGTTAAAACACGACTGAACGGCTATTTTGAGAGGAAACGTCTATTTCAATATGTATTTTGAGAGAAAATACGCATTGAAATACGCAAGTGAATATGTGTTTTAATATTTGTTGTTCTTGTTTAAAATGTGCAGATTAATGTGGAAAGGGAAAGGAATAAAACGATGGGTAAAAACATGTGAAAAGCAACACGCACTGGAGATGGGCAGAATCGCCAATCCCTATCCAGAATGAAGGTAAAGTAAAACATGCATGTCAGATGTCAGTCATAGCATCTCATGCTCTGTTGGTAGCAACTTAGATACCAACAATTTAAGAGCTTGTGTTTGGAGAGGTTGGTTGGTCTTTCAATGTTATTCAGGGACATTTCTTCCAGACCAGTAACTGATCTCATCTAAATAAATCCTATGTTTGCATCACAGTCCAATGCTGCTTTGCACACCAGTTAATTGGGGGGGGGGGAGAGACCACAGATTTATCCCTGGTAACCTCTCTGCCAAGGCTTCGCCTCAAGATACAAATTGTCACTTGCACAAAACTCTCTCTGTGCACAAAACTGCCATTCATAGGACTTTGCTCTTTTCAAGAGAACTAAGGCTGTGTTTGTTCCAGTCAGTTCAAAACACAGTTGCCATGGAGACTCAAAAGGAGACGAATGATTCTCCCAGAATGCACAAGGGCCTGTCACAACATCTCAACCTTTCCATTTTTGTTCCACAAATTGTTCAGTCAGAGTTAGAGGCTAAATCCACTAGCCGAAGAATTCGGATGTTTATGAAATAGCTTTTGAAGCTTGCAAAGTATTCTAGAACATGCTATTTTTCTCGGGGGTGGGGTGGGGTGGACAGAAGCTTGGGTGGTAAGTAGCAGCCCAGAAAGAGAGAGATGTGCAAATGATTTGATAATACAAACACAGAGAAAAATGAATTGGCAAGAACGTGTAGAATTTTCAAAAAGCAAATGAACAACTGTCTTGACAGAAAACTAACCTGAGAAAATTGAGCACCTAGATTCAAACCGGATGGCTTCAGGCACAATTTATATGCCCGTCTCTTAAGCCCCTACACAGGTATTTTCACACACAAACACAGCATGATTAGAATTGCATAAGGGTAAAAGCGGGACCACACTCACTTAAGCCATGCCTTCTCCGTAGTATCCCTGTCACTCAGCCCTGCTGCCCTCCTTACACTAGAGGAGAAGGGTCTTAGGTGGGCAGCCCATGTGATCGGAAGCACTAATGGAAACCAGAAGCTTTTCTTTTATGTATTATAGGACCAGAGATCCAAAAGGACTAGACAAAACTATTTATGTACACGACCTACAGCTGTGCAGACTCTGTTAGCCCAAAAATGGAAACATGGTACAACTCTGACCAAAGACGAGTGGCAGACAAAATTGATGAACTATGCCATCTTGGGGCTCTGGGCAGGGTCTCCATGCGAGCTGGAAGGACAGCAGAGCTTGCTCAGCTGACGCGCTGGGAAGCAGACCTGCTGCTGCGCTACCCCGCACGTCAGCTGTCAGGCCGTGAGACTAAGCAGCTCAACAAAGCTCATGAGGATGGGCCGAGGGAGCTGGCGTTTGTCCACAGACAGCTTTCTGGGTCATGTGGCCAGCAGGACTAAACCGCTTCTGGCACAATGGGACACTGTGACAAAAGCCAGAGGGCACGGAAATGCCATTTACCTTCCCACTGCAGCGCTACCTATTTATCTACTCACACTAGTATGCTTTCGAACTGCTGGGTTGGCAGGAACTGGGACAGAGTGACAGGAGCTCACCCCGTCGCAGGGATTCGAACCGTAGACCTTCCAATCAGCAAGCCCAAGAGGCTCAGTGGTTACTTTTGGCCCAAAGAGAACCCGTGTGACCTTAAAGTTGTGTTTAGATGCACCCAACATGACAGAGTAGGAACTTACTGTTTGTGAGCATTTGTAAGTCTTCAACTGAAGGAGGATACCCTTTCTTCTCATAGGGAATAACGGTGTTCAAATACTAGAAAGGAATGACACTGGCAGTTAGTAATCCTCTTTCCAAGAGGGACAGAAATCAGAGGCATCTACCAGAAACAAACATCTTTCTGGCCTTAGTTGACCACAGATTGCTGGATCAGCAGGGCTCTTCATATATTTAATTTATTACATTTATATCCCCTCCTTCCATCCAAAGGAACACAGAATGGCAAACAGCAGGCGACAAAGAATAACAATGTATTCTTTAAGACATATCTTAAAGCATCTCTCATACAGGTGTGAGTTGGGAAAGAGCTCTGCTTCAAAAGTTTGTTGGAAGAGAAAAGTCTTTGGAAGTGGCACCTGTCTAATATTTAATGGGAGGGGATCCAAAAGGCTGGGTGCTGCAACACTAAAGGCCCAATTCCTGTATGATGTGCAAGGACCCTCCTGATAAGATGGTATCGGCAGCAGATGCTCACTTGAAGAGCAGAGCGATGGATTGGCTATATAAGAGGTGAGATGGCCTTTCAGGTTGTCCAGGTCCCAAGCTGGAATGCCTCAACTAAGATTTCAAACACAAGGTTGCTAGCATTTGTGGAGTCCAGGCAGTGGTGCACTTGGGACATAATGGTGCTAATAATAATAATAATAATAATAATAATAATAATAATAATAATAATAATAATTTATTTATACCCCACCCATCTGACTGGGTTTCCCCAGCTACTCTGGGCAGCTCCCCACAGAATTAATGATAATAATAAAAAAGCAATAAAACATCAGACATTGAAAACTTCCCTAAACAGGGCTGTCTTCAGATGTCTTCTAAAAGTCAGATAGTTGTTTATTCCCTTGACATCTGATGGGAGGGTGTTCCACAGGGCAGGTGCCACCATTGAGAAGGCCCTCTGCCTGGTTCCCTGTAGCTTCACTTCTCACAGTGGGGGAACCGCCAGAAGGCCCTCAGAGCTGGACCTCAGTGTTTGGGCTGAACAATGGGGGCAGAGACGCTCCTTCAGGTATACTGGGCCGAGGCTGTTTAGGGCTTTAAAGGTCAGCACCAACACTTTGAATTGTGCTCGGAAACGTACAAGGGGTCCCGCTCTGCGATTTCCTTCACAATGTTGTAATCCAGACTTTGTGTGTCTGAGGACCCTCCCTCCACATTCTGCTCAGGTGCCCTCGACATCTGCCCCCAAATCCTGCCCCAGTGGCGCCACTGAGTCCAGGAAGGATCAGGCCAGCCCATCAGCAGCAGGGCTTTCAACAGCCAAAAGGTAACCATGGCACACATTTTAGTCTTCTAAAGCTTTGGCTGAGTCATGATAGCCATTTTAATTGATTGACGCTTCAAGCATCAACGAATTCATAGGCCAGAGAGAAATGCTGCCGGTTCTCAAAATAAACACGTTGCAAACTGATGAAAAGCACAAATGGCACAGCAGGGCTTCTTTAAAACAATGCATGGCATTACACTTCAATTATCTGGCATGGGAAGGATAAAGCATGACTTTCCTCTCTGCCAATCCTCCACAGCAAATATTCTTGCACCCCCATAAACCACCACACATTTTTCAGGATTGTTGTTGTTGTTTAGTCGTTTAGTCGTGTCCGACTCTTCATGACCCCCTGGACCATTGCACGCCAGGCACTTCTGTCTTCCACTGCCTCCCACAGTTTGGTCAAACTCATGCTGGTAGCTTCGAGAACACTATCCAACCATCTCGTCCTCTGTCGTCCCCTTCTCCTTCTGCCCTCCATCTTTCCCAACGTCAGGGTTTTTTCCAGGGATTCTTCTCTTCTCATGAGGTGGTCAAAGTATTGGAGCCTCAGCTTCAGGATCTGTCCTTCCAGTGAGCACTCAGGGCTGATTTCCTTAAGAATGGAGAGGTTTGATTTTCTTGCAGTCCATGGGACTCTCAAGAGTCTCCTCCAGCACCATAATTCAAAAGCATCAATTCTTCGGCGATCAGCCTTCTTTATGGTCCAGCTCTCACTTCCATACATCACTACTGGGGAAACCATAGCTTTAACTATACGGACCTTTGTTGGCAAGGTGATGTCTCTGCTTTTTAAGATGCTTTTTTGGGATAACATGCTTGATAATGCACTAAGTGTTGCAATGTGTGGGCTGCTGCTTGGGATTCCAGCCATTCCATTCTCTTTTTAGATGTATTTTTTTAAAATATAAAGCAATTGAGAAATGCTTTCGGATATAAATAAATAGTCTCGTTTCCTCAGAAGAGGGACTCACCTGTTTATCATTTGCCGAGTTCCCAAATGTCTGCCGGATACTAGTCTGCAGAATGTTTGAGATACCTTCCATGCTGAATCGCTACACAGAGGAGAAAACAGACCACATTAGGATTTGCCCATAAGTTTCTACGGCAGGATTTATTTCCCTTACTTCTATTTCATAAAATTTGATTATAAAAATCCTCAAAGTAAGTTTATAAAAGAAGAAGAAGAAGAAGAAGAGTTTGGATTTGATATCCCGCCTTTCACTCCCTTTAAGGAGTCTCAAAGCGGCTAACATTCTCCTTTCCCTTCCTCCCCCACAACAAACACTCTGTGAGGTGAGTGGGGCTGAGAGAATTCAGAGAACTGTGACTGGCCCAAGGTCACCCAGCAGCTGCATGTGGAGGAACGGAGACGCGAACCCGGTTCCCCAGATTAGGAGTCTACCGCTCTTAACCACTACACCATACTGGCTCTAAACCAATGAGGAATAAACCAATGAGGAAAAAACAGTTACACATGTTAACGGAGAAATCTGAGGGCTCCCTTGGACAAAAAACAAGGACACCAGCCAGGAATACCAGAGCAAAACAGCAGCCAGTAGGCTTGGTCTTTATTGAAGACTGTCACGACAGGACTCCCACCTGCCACAAGGTGGAACAAGATGGAAGCCCCGAACAAAAGAGCACCCAAACTTTTATTAGCTGCCAATCCCCATGTTACACCCCCCCCAAATTACATCATGCTTACATCATGAAAGGGGAGGTCTGGTGGCAGTCATCTGAGCATCCTGGACCCTGCCCCATGGTTCTCCTTGCCCTCCACCAAACACCCATCAAGTGTAACAAAAAAGATATTTACATTTCCCTGTTTTCCCAACCAAGTTAATCTCACGCTTTTGTCTTCATCTGGGTTTGTTATTTCTGGAATGGCTACCTGTCTGGCACTCAGGTATCAGGATGCCAGGAATTATCGCCCAGGCAGAGGGGCTGCTGAGTAGCTGAGCTCACAAGTTTATATGAATTTCTGAAGTTTTCCCAGTGAGCCAGTACATAGATACCGTATTTTTCACCCTATAGGACGCACTTTTTCCCCTCCAAAAATGAAGGGGAAATGTGTTTGCGTCCTATGGGGTCAATGCAGGCTTTCGCTGAAGCCTGGAGAGTGAGAGGGGTTGGTGCACACTTCGCGCAGCTCTCCCACGGCTTGCGGAGAGCTGCCTGCACCCAGAAGTCTGGGGCGTGCTGAGCTCAGCACGCCCCAGGCTTCGAGATTCGTGCGGCTCTCTGCAAGCCGTGGGAGAGCTGCGCGAAGTCGCGCAGCTCTCCCACGGCTTGCGGATAGCAGCCTGTTCTGGGGGCTGGGGTCGGGGGAAGCTCGGGCTTCCCCCGCCATACCCCCGCACCTGGGGGGAAATATTTTTTTTCCTTTATTTCCCCCCCAAAAAAAAATAGGTGCGCCCTATGGGCCGGTGTGCCCTATGGGGTGAAAAATACGGTACATTTATCAGTGAATTCTTACATTTGGTATCATGCAGCAAAGGGCCATTGAATAGATAGGAAGAAACTGTAGTGAAGTGTTTTGTGGGGACAAATCACAAAAGTCACAAAAGTGATTGTGCTGATTTTGGTAGTGGGCTGCATGTGCATGATATCTGCTGGAGGGGCAACCATAATAACAATAATAACACAATTCGACAATTCAGGTTTAAATACACTAATATACCTATGACTGCACCCTTTTAACAATATTTTCCCACCTCTCTCTCCTCCCCCCACTTCCTTATCGCTTAAATATTCATTCCAGATTCCTTCATATTTATCCATTCTTAATTTGCGTCAACATGCAATTTGTTCATATTTAGCTAATCTGTCCATATTATCAATCCATGTGCTCAATGGAATCTTTTTGCGGCTCTTCCAATTCATCAAAACAAGTGTTTTGGCTTCTAATATAGCACGGTACAGCCATTTTTTTTTTTTGACCCCTTGAAATCTCCCACGTTTCCAAAATATAATTTAGAATTAAATTCAATTCCCCTAAATAACAATTTCTTTTTATTACTCTTACTATAAATATCCTCACCTCGCACCTTACCCTAACCTGCCACCATCAACCCTTGAGATGTTGAGACCAGATATTGCAAGCCTCCATCTTAAATCATTGTTTTTAATTCCTTGCTCACCTTGAGAGGCATCTGGGTCGCCCTTTCTATTCGGCTGCTCTGTAGGCTCAGCCCTTTCTCTTTCCGCCTTCGCTTCATCACCTCTCTGTGCTCTTTCTGCTTGTTCTGGACCTCCATCAGCACTGTGATGAAGGAGTTCTTCACCTCCTTCTCAAACTCCAGCTCATCCCGACGAGCCAGCTGCTGGACCAGTTCTTCGGAGTAGTCCCGGATAGCAACTTCTACGCGATCCAGGAGCTCTGAAAGCTCTGAGACGGACATGTGCTTCAAGCCTTCGAAAGATGGAAAGAGGCAGACATGCATGTTTAAGCAACTTAGCACATCAGTGGGCTGCATTGTCAAAGGAAGTAATAAGGAGGTACTGAGACAGTCGCCGTTTGAACATTCAGAAAGCGCCATGTTAAGTGCTAAGCATTGTTTGGAACACCCACAAAGCTCTATATAAAAGCTAAGTGTTAATCTGAACACTCACAAAGCACTATATAAATGCATACCGTTATAAATGCTAAGCATTACTAATGCAAAGCGTTATTTCTAGGGCTGCCACTCAAAGAAACGCATGTCAACTCAGAAGGAAGCCTTACTGAGCTTAGTGGAACTTATCCCCAGATAAGTGTGTATAGGATTGCAGTCTCGTTCTAGGAATTTTAGTAAATTAATGGATATTAATAAATATGTGAATATGGGGGAAAGAATACTTCTGATGGAGGAAAAGCATACACAGCAGGCAACATCTGTGAAGGGGCATCACCTACAGTTTTTAGACATAATTAATTTTTTAAAAATAAATTTAATCGACTGCTCCACTTAGTCAATCAAAAAATTACCTAGTCCATCTAAGGCTGCAATCCTTTACCCATTTAACACACTGGGACTTACTCCTAAGTCAACATGTGCAGTGTTGCACTGTAACTAATTAATGCAGCCCTCATTATTTTCCATTTTAGGGCTGCAGAAGCAGGGCTGCAACCTGATTAAAGAAAATTTTAATCAATTGCTTCAGAGAATGACCAATGCTTCAGTGGAGAAGAGGTGTGTGCTATCTGCCTTGAAGGAGGCAGTGATGCACGCCCTCCTTCAGAAAACCTCCCTGGACCCAGAAGTGCAAAGCAACTATTGGCCAATGGTGAATATCCCCTTTTCAGGCAAGGTGCATGAGAAGGTGGTAGCAGTCCAGCTTTTAGCATGCCTGGAGGAAACTGATTATTTCAATTCGTTCTGGCCTAGTCATGGCACTGAAATTGCCTTGGCTGCCCGTGTTGATTACATTTGAGAGATAAGGGAGCATGATCCAGCTCATTCGCCTCGAACTCTCAGTGGCTTTTGATACTGCTGACCACATGTGTTGTACCAGGGCATTATCATCATCTAAGAGGCATTCTCTCCCAACCAAGCGGAAAAGCAACACAGTGCTTGCTATCTGGAGTGTTTGTAATAACTTACATTTTAAAAAATGCTCGTTTTTTAATAATAAAAAAGCAACCCCCAAACATGCGACATAATAAATTGGAGGTTCCTTTTTTAGTTGCTTAAAAGCTTTTGGAATAGATGACTTGAACCAATCCATTATACATTGCAGCCCTATGCAGGGTGGTATTCTGAAGCTGGTTTTACCGTAATTAGAATAAAACATGTGCCTGCAACAAAACATTGCCAGGTGTGCAGAGTGCTCTTGTTCAGTGCTGAAGGGAGCCAGCCAGCCATGCCCTCTTCCAGAGACTCCATTCCATTTCCCCTCCCGCCTGATTTTCTGTCTCGACCCCACCCTATCAGTCAATCCACATTCCATGCCCACTGAACATGCTTAGGCCACGTTGGACTGTTTCGGGGGTTCCCCACCCTATGAAGGCCCCTCCCAAAGATTTCTTGTCCTTCAGCAAACCTTATATTAATTTACAAAGCCCTGAACAACAGGTCCAGGGCGCCACTGTTGCCCAATGCTACAGAAAACAGGTACCAAATCTGTCCAAATCTGGAAATTATGTTGTGTGTTTGGAGCATGCACATGCAATGTACCCAACTCAAACCATCTACATGTGAAAAGGGAAAGGAACATGTTCTGGAAAAGCATGACCCCCAATGTTTTAAAAAGTGCTTATGTATCCGGGAGATAAGTTAGTGGCCAGGCTCCCTTCCACAAACCTACTGCAAGCCCAAGGCCAGACCTATTTCAGAATCATTGCAACACATTTTCTTCTTTGTCGTTTTTAATTAGCTGGGCTTTTAGCATCCAGGGTTAAGCTTGGGTGCTTTGGCATGTGGTTTTATGTACTCAACAGGGCATTTTGTGCCCATTTTCGTTTGCTTTATTGCTTGTTTTGAAAAACTGTAACTCACCCCAGGCTCTAAAGATGGGGTAGCCTACAAATAAATAAACCAGTGTTAAAGCATAGCATAAACTGGACATTTTGAGCTCATGCTAAATAATAATAATTATTATTATTTATTATTTATACCCCGCCCATCTGGCTGAGTTTCCCCAGCCACTCTGAGCAGCTCCCAATCGAGTGTTAAGAACAATACAGAATTAAATATTAAAAACTTCCCTAAACAGGGCTGCCTTCTGATGTCTTTTAAAAATAGGATAGCTGCTTATTTCCTTGACATCTGATGGGAGGGCGTTCCACAGGGCGGGCGCCACTGCCGAGAAGGCCCTCTGTCTGGTTCCCTGTAACGTCACTTCTTGCAATGAGGGAACCGCCAGAAGGCCCTTGGCGCTGGACCTCAGTGTCTGGGCTGAATGGTGAGGATGGAGATCTCCTTCAGTTATACAGGACCAAGGCTGTTTAGGGCTTTAAAGGTCAGCACCAACACTTTGAATTGTGCTCAGAAACGTACTGGGAAGCCAATGCAGATCTCTCAGAACCAGTGTTATGTGGTCCCGGCGGCCACTCTCAGTCACCAGTCTAGCTGCCGCATTCTGGATTAGTTGCAGTTTCCGGGTCACCTTCAAAGGTAGCCCCACATAGAGCACATTGCAGTAGTCCAAGCAGGAGATAACTAGAGCATGCACCACTCTGGTGAGACAGTCTGCAGGCAGGTAGGGTCTCAGCCTGCATACCAGATGGAGCTGGTAGACAGCTGCCCTGGACACAGAATTATCCTGTGCCTCCATGGACAGTTGTGAGTCCAAAATGACTCCCAGGCTGCGCACCTGGTCCTTCAGGGGCACAGTTACCCCATTCAGGACCAGGGAGTACTCCATACCTGCCCGCCCCCTGTCCCCCCAAAACAGTACTTCTGTCTTGTCAGGATTGATTGATTGATTGATTGATTGATTGATTGATATTTATTACGGCCATTGGCCCGTCACACGACAGTTTCCCATACCAACATAATGTACTTAAACCTCCAAATTTAAAACCGCCAAAACTTACAAAAAACAGACAAGAACCAAAGCAAAACAAAACAAAAGACCACATCATACATTACAATAAATTTGCAACATAAACATCGCCCTCTGCTCATAAATTAATAAAGACATCAATGGTGATATCACCTAATTACATCCTAAAACATAGATCATGGTTTAAAAGGGTTATCCGAGTCCATTTTTCTTCTTTAGGGATAGGACGCTGTCTTGTCAGGATTCAACCTCAATCTGTTAGCCACCATCCATCCTCCTACCGCCTCCAGACACTCACACAGGACATTCACTGCCTTCACTGGTTCTGATTTAAAAGAGAGGTAGAACTGGGTGTCATCTGCATACTGATGATAAAAAGAAAGACATCATCACCTGTATGCAGTTCTGCTATATTCCACAAGAACGGAGCTGTCATGAGGACACCCCACCGCTTTGCAGTGAACAGGGGAAAAGAATCAGCATCCAGATCAGTGGAATGCATTACTGAGTGTTGCTCATTGCAGTGAAGGCTTGTCCATTGGGGAGAGAGGAACACTGCCCTCCAAGCACTTACAAACAGTTGGGATGTGGCATTGGTTTTCAGCATCCTCCTCCTTGTTGCCCTTGGAGAACTTGGGAGGAAGGGAGGTGGAGACAAAACCAGAATTAGTTGGCTCTACCTATCATTGGCTCTACCTATCATTGGAGGGATGCGGGTGGCGCTGTGGGTTAAATCACAGAGCCTAGGACTTGCTGATCAGAAGGTCGGCGGTTCGAATCCCCGCGACGGGGTGAGCTTCCGTTGCTCGGTCCCTGCTCCTGCCAACCTAGCAGTTCGAAAGCACGTCAACGTGCAAGTAGATAAATAGGTACCGCTCTGGCGGGAAGGTAAATGGCATTTCCGTGCACTGCTCTGGTTCGCCAGAAGCTGCTTCGTCATGCTGGCCACATGACCCAGAGACTGTACGCCGGCCCCCTCAGCTAATAAAGCGAGATGAGCGCCGCAACCCCAGAGTCGGTCACGACTGGACTTAATGGTCAGGGGTCCCTTTACCTTTACTTTACCTATCATTGGCTCTGGCTGCACCAGGCCTCACTGTCACTCAAGTTACAGCTCAGCAGTAGACAGCATCTACTTCACCTTCAGGAGCTCCCAGGTTTGATCCCCGGCATCGCTAGGTAGGGATGGAAATGTCTCCCTGCCTGAAACCCCAGAGAGCTGCTGCCAGCACAGAAATACGGAACCAGACAAACTACAGGTCTACCAACATGGCAGTTTCCTATGTTCCTCTTCAAAGGTCTGTGCTGTGAGTGGAACACCAGTGGAGACTTGAAGGCAATCTTACAGTAAGGCAAAGGAGACAAGATGTTGGGGATCTGTGATCAGATCTCCTGTAGATGCCTCATAGAGGTCACAGATGCAACATACGTTGAAAGCACTCTTTTACCACGTTAAGAGTCATAGAAACTGTAGTTTGTTAAGGGTGCTGGGAGTTGTAGATCTGTAAGGTCAGCACCCTTAACTGCAGTTCCCAGTATTCATTGAAGGAAGCCATGACTATTTAAAGTGGTTAAAGAATGCTTTATGGTGTATCATATGGGTGACAGTTTCTCTCCCCCCCCCTGCAAATTCCAGGTGGGGGCGGCATCCAGATTGTTGTAGGTAAAGTGTTAAAAGATGGGGATTTGTGTAAAGAAACCCTAGACTTAAAGGTACAGATTAGTAGCTAATGTGCCGTGTAGTTTGTCCCTAAGAAAGCAGCAGATCTTCCTCCCTGGACCTTATAGCCCAGACCCAAATGTCCTCACCTTCATAGGACCAGTTGTTGTTCAGGGTCTGTGTCAGCGCCTGCATCTCTTGTAGAAGGACAGAGTCAGCCTGGCTGCTGGTCTCTCCACCATCGTCTTCCTCCAAAATATCTTCTTCCTCTTCAGGGTCTGGTGAATTCTCCATCATCTCCTCGATTTCTTCAATCACCTGCAAAAAGAACTAACTGCTTAAGAATTATGTTTGGCTTCAGTGCAGAAAGAAAGAAAGAAAGAAAGAAAGAAAGAAAGAAAGAAAGAAAGAAAGAAAGACAAAATGGAATGTTAGCTGATGTTTTAAATTTCTCGGCAAGAATACATTTTCTTCAGTGTACCTGTTGGGTAGTTTAGGCAAATGTACCTTATAGGGACCATTCATTTATTTTTATTTTTTATCAAGGCACTTTAAATACCGTTGCTGAAAGCTGAATCATCTAGGTCACAACGTGAACACACACAGATGCAATAAATGACAACCACGTCCAGACACATTTACTGTATTTGCTACACTTGTATGCCACCTTCCTGCTCAAGGTTTAAACTTTATAAGTTTACAATCTAAGAGATTGAAAATACCTTAAAAAAAATAAATTCAAAATTGTCTTTGGCTCACCTTCAGTCACTATCTCTCAACATAACATGCCCTACCTCACAGGTTGTGATGATAAAATGGAGGGAGAACCATGGAGGAAAAGTGAGAGCGCGCCCAAGAGAATCTGGGAATCATGGACATGCTTAGGAAAAATCCAGTCGATTCAAAATAACCCAGATGTGTTAAGACATAGTACACAATTCTAAAAGCCACAAAGTCACTATTAAGGAGAAGACTACTGTGGCGTTTGCCTCCTAGGTGGGTCATAAGGAAAGGCTTAAAAATGAGTGTGATGTGATTGGCCAGTGGCAACTGATAGGAGGAGTTAGAGTGAGAGTCGGTATTGTGTGAAAGTCAGTTGAGAGTTGGGAGTTGGAGAAGGAAGAGGGAGGTTTAGTCTGTGGGTTGGTCGAGTTGTGTTGTGAGGGAGTGAGAGGAATTGTTAGGTGGAGTCAGATAGTTAGTTGGGATAATCAGTTTGAAGTTGTTAAGAACAAATAGGACAGTTAAGGAAATAAAATTAAGAAACTGACAAGAAAAATTAACTGAAACCATAAGCTTGTTCATGCCTATAAATAAACTTGATTATTTGTTAATGTTAACAACTGTCTGGACTCTGTGTGTACCCGTGAGGAGAAACGGGTTGGTGGCAGCGAAGAAAGCAATCACAGTGGTGGCACAGGGTCAATAGACCGTCAAACGTCCAGGGGCCCTGTGTGATCGCCACAACTACAAGGAATATTTGGGTACTGAGCCATGGAGGAACCTAGCACCCCACATCAACCTTTGCCAACCAGGTTGTCTCCAGATGTGGCTGGACAACAACTCCATCAGCCCCGCCCCCATCCTTGCAGCCGCTTGCTGATAGGCTGCCCTCTGGTGTGCTGCAGTGGCGCCATTTCGCACGGCCAGAAGGTGGTATTGCAGCTACTGAGTCAAGAGGAATCAGGTGACACAAGGAACCAATAGGGTTCTACCCCAGGCCCTCTTCTAGCCTGGATCCTTTGTCCAAGCTACTCTTTGTTGACCTTTCCACTCCAGCTTCCCTCCAGACCACAAATCCTTACAGAGATAAGCGAGATACAAGTCACCCTGATACACTTTAGGAAATATGCAATATCCTTGATGAGCACCGTGCTGCCAATATTTTAAAACAAGAAGCATGCTTTGACATGATGAGATAACTATTTGCACAAAATTCATTACCCACACATGGGTTGTTATTGTGTTCATCTTTCTGCTTCTCTGGGAAGAGGGATTGAGTGTTACACCACTCTGAGAATTGCAGCTCTGGGAACGTAGGAGTCTCCTAACAACTCTCAGTGCCCTTAACAATCTACACTTCCCAGGATTCCTTGTGGGAAGCCACGCCTCTTTAAAGCGGTATCATAGTGCTTGAAATGTATAATGCAGACTGTATTGGCTGCTTGCCCTTCTTCCTTCTTTTATGATGCGCGATTGTTGTTAGGCATAGTCTCTCCCAAATATTACTACACCATTGCTATCTATCAAATGGTTTGGAAGATTTCCAGTTAGCGGCCATTACTTGGCTACCTGCCAATTCCCAATGCACTTCCTAATTGTTCCTGTGGGATGTCTTGACACCTACGTGTCTGGTGGTTGGATCCCAAGGTTGACCCAATAGCAATTCAACAGGGATTACAACCAAACTTTAGGGGGAAACGCTCTACGGCTTTCCTTCTTCAAATATTTTGACACTGTTAACAGCATTGCCCTTCCTAAAACAAAGTTAAGCGTTGGAATGCCTTCCATGGAAAAGAAACAAAGCTCTCCTCCATCAATCACTTGTTTTTGTTTTTTTCTTATCAAGGCCGCCATCTTTCAAAAGTAAATAAGTCTCCTGCATTCCTTGCAGAAAACACGGCCTGGTCATTGCAGCCGCTCAATAAATGGAGTATCATTGCCATGGTAACGAACAGAAATTCTCAGGTGCAGCTGAAAGCCTCTCAGTATGGAATAAGCTCCCGATATTAATGACCGACTCACGCACTCCTCAAACCCTAGAGACAAAGGCAAGAATCCCATTGAACCACAGTATATGGATTCTGTGGGGGAAAGACGGTGCGAAATTTAACAGCTAGCATGAGCACCAACTCTAAATCTTACTATGTTGTGTATTTTTGTGTCTTTATATTGTAAACCACCCTGTGATCCTTGAATGAAGGGTGATATGGAAATTTAGGAAATAAAAAATCTATCAGACCGCATTGTGCAGTACCCCATGACCCTAAAGTGTCTTCCCCATCCCCTCTTAGAGGTTTGCTAGCAATAAAAGATGCTGCCTTATATGAGATTAAACTATTTGTCTATCTAATCTAGTATTGCCAGCTCTGACTGGCAGTGATATTCCGGGGTCTCAGACATCTCCTGCTGCTTCAAGGATCTTCAGCCCCGCATGCTGAAAGCATTTAGAGGCTTCCCAAGACAGAACTTGGAAGCTAGAAGAATAGCAAAGATCAGTCACTGATTAAACTTCTTTTTTTAAAATGGGCTGACCTGTGGTCCTCCAGATGTGGCTACATGGCCCAGACTTCATGGCCAATAGTCAAAACTGATGGGAGTTGTAATCAGCCACATCTGGATGACCCCAGGCTCTCCATCCCAGGTTTACAGTAACTGGCAGTGGCTAGCCAGGGTCTCAGAAAGGGGTCTCTCCAAGCCCTACCTGGAAACGCCGTGGTTTGAACCCAGGACCTTTTGCACACAAAGGATGCGCTCTGCTCCTGAGGGGTGATGGCACACCCCTCATAAGCTTCCTAGTTAGCTGGCGAAAGAGGCAGTGATTGTGTCATTCATGCACTCCCAAGAAAAAGACAGAAGCCGTTTTTTGTGCATTTACTTCAATTGTCACATTTATGCCCGGGCAAAATATACCCAACAACACAGCGTTACACTACAATCAGGTCCGTGTTTATTTTTAGAAGCTGTTCAGATGGTCCTTTTATCCTATAGCTATGTTGCGTCAACAGGCAGCTGAGGCTGTTTCTACGCACATACTACCATATTTTTCGCTCTATAAGACGCACAAGACGCACCTAGTTTTTGGAGGAAAACAAGAAAAAAAATATATTCTGAATCTCAGAAGCCAGAACAGCAAGAGGGATCGCTGTGCAATGAAAGCAGCAATCCCTCTTGCTGTTCTGGCTTCTGGGACAGCTGCACAGCCTGCATTCGCTCCATAAGACACACACACATTTCCCCTTACTTTTTATGAGAGGAAAAGTGAGTGTTATACAGCAAAAAATATGGTAATTCATGCATGCTCTCTCTCATTCTCCGTATTCCAGTCCCCCCAAGGCCACAGGCAGAAGAGAGGAGATCTAAAGATTTTGGGGAGGAATTTTTCCTCCAAAAACTGTGATGGGTGAGGGATGAGAGAAAGGGATGGTGTTGAAAACCACTGGCCAGTTTAAGCAGGGAGGATTCTCAGCTTTAGGAGCCAGTGCTTCCTGGGAAGAGTCGCAGGATGGAATTTCCCTTTTGGTTTTGTTTTCAAAAAATGTTCCATTGCCTGATTTGTGGACTCCTAGGGATGACCCGAGACATTTTGCCGCCTGAGGCAAAGACAATGCCCTCTCACGCCACATACAGAAGGGTTGTTTTGCATGCAGGTGGTCTCAGGTATAATTCCCAGCACCTCCATGAAGAGATGCCATTCTGAAATCTTGTCAGCAACGTCTAGGCAACACGATGACCATGTACATACACAATAAAGGTAAAGGGACCCCTGACCATTAGGTCCAGTCGTGGCCGACTCTGGGGTTGCGGCGCTCATCTCGCTTTATTGGCCGAGGGAGCCAGCATACAGCTTCCGGGTCATGTGGCCAGCATGACTAAGCTGCTTCTGGCGAACCAGAGCAACGCACGGAAACGCCGTTTACCTTCCCGCCGGAGTGGTACCTATTTATCTACTTGCACTTTGTGCTTTCGAACTGCTAGGTTGGCAGAGGCTGGGACCGAGCAACGGGAGTTCACCCCATCGTGGGGATTCGAACCACCAACCTTCTGATCGGCAAGTCCTAGGCTCTGTGCTTTAACCCACAGCGCCACCCGCGTCCCTTTTACATACACAATAGACAATCTTTAGAGAATTCCTTCAAGCCATAAGAAGTACAAAATGAAATCTTTAGTCTCAAGGTCTCTGAAAATCTTTAAATGAAGCGAGGTACCAGACTGTGTATGATGAAAGACAAGCTGTGACACCCATCTTATTATAGTATGTATGTATTACAGTTTATAATTTTTGTAAAGTGGTATGTGCATGCAGGTCATCATCTGTAAAATTTTATTTTCTGTTTATGAAGCAATTCTATATATCCTCCCACCACGCTGACGAAGAATTCTACGAAACAGTAGTCAATATCCGGAATCACTGTTCAGTGTTGGACATCATATTTGCTGAATACACAAAGCTTCACAGCTTGTCTTTGTACTTGTTATGGTTTGAAGGAATTCTATAAAGATTGTCTATTGCGTATGTACATGGTCATCGTGTTGCCTAGACATTGCTGATGTTCTCTTTGCAACACGGGGGTTTGTTTCATTCTGAAATCTTGGACAGCTGTTAGATTGTCTGGGGACTACAGGTTAGCCGTGTGCTGACAACCCTGTACATGTTTTCTGTTTGCTCTGCAGCCAATGTAGGGGGATGCATGGCAAAGCTGACATCTGAAAGCATTCGAGATGCCCATAAATCTCCACCTGCTCTCCAGCCACTGTTGTGAGCAATTTCTCAAGGCAGATTTGCTGAGCCTGGAAAGAAAGAGGGATTGCCTAAAGGGCAAACACCACTCTTCGGAAAAGGCTGAGCCCATTTGCTGAGCTGGTGGCAGAAGGTGCCTTAGAATTTCCCATCTTTTACACAGGAAAGGCCAAGGGAAGATTGTGTACCTGATCTGCTGTGAGTAGAGGCTCCTCGTTAATACCAGAGTCATTTTCACTCTTCTCGTTAAGCTCTTCCTCTTCCTTCTCGTGGATCTGAAGGGGGAAGAAAACCCAAGCCGCATGCTGATTCAGTAGCAGGTATGGGTGGTCCCCCATTTAGGTTTATTCTATTTCTATTTTTATTTTGGTCCTTAGCCTAATATTTCCTAAATGGACCGGGCAGGTATTCTCTCTGCTTTTTTTGTTTTTTAAAAAATAGAAAACCAAAGTTCTAAGAAGCAGTTCAAAAGGGCCTGCCATGTTTTAATTAAAATCCCCAAGATCCCCCTCCTTGCAACATGCGTACTTGTTTTGTTTCCTCGTCTTCCCCAGATATCTGGGAGAGGAAAGTGTTGGAGGAAAAGAGGGATCATTCACTAAAACAAGAGCTCAGAGGAGAAGCCTAGAGAGGAGATAATGACACCCGCCATTACAATTAATGTATACCCTGATACAATTAATAGTATACCTTATTTATCTAAGAACACAGCCGGTTACGTCTCGTGTGTTTATTGAGGGCCTTCTAAGACTAAACAATAATCTAATTATACAGTAACAATAATTAGGGATGCGTTGCACCAACCAATGCAGATCTCCACGTGTTGCCTTTCAGCTAGATCTACTTTTTTAGGTGCTCACCGTTCTCCTGAAATGGGAGCACCTTGTGTTTTCAGTGTGGCTAAATTCTTAACTCTGGAGCACACAAAGCAACAACTCATTTGTGTTCTTCCTTCTTGCCTTCTCTAGGAGCCAATCCTCAACGACTGACTCGCCTCCTTTCACTCTGATTGGCTCCAAATGACAGGTGGCCGCCTGTCATGGATGCTTTAGGTGAGATTCTTGCATTGCAGGGGGTTGGACTAGATGACCCTCAGGGTCCCTTCCAAGTCTAAGATTCTATAATTCTATGAATCGGTGCAAGAGGGAGAAGACTTCTTTTCAGATCTGAGCCATTGGCCGACTTCTGGTGCTGGACCCCTACCACTGCCGGATTTACGTATAAGCTAAACAAGCTATAGCTTAGGGCCCCACTCTCTTGGGGGCCCCAAAAAAATGTAAAGGGGAAAAAACTGGATATACATTTCCAAAATATAAGATAAAAAACAAATAAAATAAAACCTACATAGAGCAACAGTGTTTTGTGTTGTGTAGGCTCCTATGATGTAAGTAATGGGGTCCCAATCATTTTAAGTTAGAGATTAATAATTATTTCACTGTTAATATACTTCTTCTTAATTGTATTTCAGTTCAACAATTAATTTGATAAAATACATATTTTGTTATGTGCAAGTGGCTTTAGATACCTATTAGGTCCATAAATTACCATATAGCATATATTCAACACAAAAAACAGCGACAATCTGTTGTTGACAGAGGACAGCTGGACATATAAAGGGCCCCATTACCTTCAGTAGCTTAGGGCCTCATCGAACCTAAATATGGCCCTGACCCCTACCATTATTGCGATAATGACCTCCTTGTAGTCTTCCGATAGGTATCTGGGCCAGCCACAGAATGTCTTATCAAATGAGTTTTTAGTCGGATTCACCAGGGCTCTTCCTATTTGTCTAGCTGCCATTCTAATTTCCCATAATGTGGCCCTACATCAGGGGCATTGCGAAGCGTAAAACAGCAACTGGAACCAGAAGCTCATGGAGAATAAGGTTATCAATGGCTAGAAGCCAAGGTAGCTCTGCCCTACCTCCATGGTAAAGGTAAAGGGACCCCTGACCATTAGGTCCAGTCGTGACCGACTCTGGGGTTGCGGTGCTCATCTCGCATTATTGGCCGAGGGAGCCGGCGTACAGCTTCCGGGTCATGTGGCCAGCATGACTAAGCCGCTTCTGGCGAACCAGAGCAGCACACGGAAACGCCGTTTACCTTCCCGCTAGAGCGGTACCTATTTATCTACTTGCACTTTGATGTGCTTTCGAACTGCTAGGTGGGCAGGAGCAGGGACCGAGCAACGGGAGTTCACCCCATCGTGGGGATTCGAACCACCAACCTTCTGATCGGCAAGTCCTAGGCTCTGTGGTTTAACCCACAGCACCACCCACGTCCCTCCATGGTAGAAGGCAGTGATGCTTTTGAATACCAGTTGCTGGGAAATGCAAGGGGGAGAGAGCTCTTGTGCTTGAGTCCTGCTGGCTGGCCACTGTAAAAACAGGGTGCTGCATTAGAAGGGCCATTCTGATTTGATTACTTAAAGCCAGCCTCTTCAGAATTGAATTACTTTACAGGAAATTTAAAAACAAGACTCATGCTAAAGGAAGGCTGTAGCCAGAGATTTTCTCTGAAGGGACCAGTTCTGGTTCCCTAGCGATTCACACTCAGCCTTCGGCTTATAAGGGTCATTCCAAAAAGCCAGGAAGTCCTCCCTTCCTGTTTGATTCTTATTTAGGAAGGCGATCGATACTTTCTGGCCTCACTGTTTCACTGGCTCCAGCAGTTTATTTGACTGAATTGCTGCACTGGCTGACGCCACTAGCATCACCCGCTTGCTGAAGCTGAGATTGCATAACACCCACTACAGCGCTGGAAGAGGTAGCTGCTGCTGAGCTTGTGGACCAAGGCAGACGAGAGCCTTGCAAACCACTTTCTGGAAGTCACTACTAATTCTTACAAATGTGCCCCCTGCGCAGAGGCCACAATACTTGACATGCGTCTGCTTTGCTTGCAGACCCAACACAAAGCCTCCATGGGCAGTTGCTGGTGTGTGTATGTGTGTGTGTGATGTGCTGGCAGGGCCCACTGCTGTGCCGACAACTGCTCTGGGCACCCTCAGCCACCATATTAATTTCTGTAATATAACATCACGCCAAGGCATGGTAGTAAGTTAACATGGCGAATCCCAGCCACCCAGTGCTGGTTGCTGTGGGACGTTTAGCAGTCAAACAGAACTCTGCATGGTTTTGCTAGTTAGTATATGAAGGGGTTAAGGACCACACAGTTAGGTCATGCTTCCTCACCCCCAGTGAGGGAGGAAGTGATGTATTTCTTCCTTTCCTTTCCTTCCCTTACCCTCCTTCTCCACACTGTTAGCAATGGAGGTGGACATGACTCAACATGGCTCCTATCTTCAGACATGTCTGAAGCTATCTTTCCGTATTTCTACTAAGAATATTTTTAGCTGCATTTCCAATTGTTGCTGCATAGGACAATGCATGGGGACGCGGGTGGCGCTGTGGGTAAAACCTCAGCGCCTAGGAATTGCCGATCGCATGGTCGGCGGTTCGAATCCCCGCGGCGGGGTGCGCTCCCGTAGTTCGGTCCCAGCGCCTGCCAACCTAGCAAGTTTGAAAGCACCTCCGGGTGCAAGTAGATAAATAGGGACCGCTTAACAGCGGAAGGTAAACGGTGTTTCCGTGTGCGGCTCTGGCTCACCAGATGCAGCTCGTCATGCTGGCCACATGACCCGGATGTGTCTCCGGACAGCGCTGGCCCCCGGCCTCTTGAGTGAGATGGGCGCACCAAACCCTAGAGTCTGTCAAGACTGGCTCGTACGGGCAGGGGTACCTTTACCTTTACCTTTTGCCTTTTTAGGACAATGCATGTTTGTGGCCTCAGATAAGTAAGTAAAGCATTTTTCAACTGACTTCACTGTGTAGTCTATTTCATTGCAGGGGGTCAGCTGCTTCAGCACAACAGAATGAAATAAATAAGGTTAATAGACTATTCCTATGTTTCACTAAACTGCTTGACAATGGCATTTCAACTCTGCTACTGGGCTCTCGAATGCTTTCGAATTCAGACTTTTTCCTTTGGCTGTTAACCCCCCCCCCCACGGTTCTCTAGAGGATTAAATATAATTAATATATCCTCTTACCGATTCCCATCAATTGCCAAACTCTTGCATGCATCAAGCAAATTTACCTGGGCCCACGTAAGAGGGGAACCAGTGTTTTGACAAAAGGTCCCACAAGCTTAAAGCCAGCTCCTGCCCACCAAGGAATCTGGCCCTCGGGCCAAAACAAGGGAGCCCCACCCACTTCTAAAAGCCAGCAAAAATATTCCAGCCATCTCCCCTAGAGAACATTAAGTGACGGGAGCCTAAGAGGTCAAGGAAGAATTGCAGAGCAACCAGGACATAAAATACAGGTAGCCTAATGGGTTTAAAACACATTAAATTGCACCAAGCACAAATGACATAGTGTTTTGAACATAATTTAAAAAATAAGGGCCAAATGCACATTTGTATTCATAGGGCAGCTCTGGGGACAAACTGACTTCCTAGCAGACAGTTGGGTAGGATCCTGCCTTCCCACCCTTTTTTCCTTAGGAACACTTCATTATGGGTGCTTTGTTGTGTACTCAGTGCTCTTTATGCAAGCACGTTTTTCGCAGCACACACACAACATCAAAATGTCACCCCTATTTCCCCCCATTTTATCCAGATTTACTGTTTCTGCCAGTGTCTCTGTGTATGTTATTCATCGGTAGGAATGCAAGAAGGAACCGTTTTCCATTCTACCCTGTATTCATTGCACTGTTTCCGTTCCACTGCAGGCCGCCTTCCATCAAAAAAACTCCGTTATTTGTCTTGCTGTCTGCTGCGGTGAAATTGCGTAATTCATTACACAGAATGACATTGCCATTCTCTTATGCCACCCCTTTCATTTCATTGCAAAGGAAAAGCAGTGTAAATGTGAGGAAGGGGGACCGTTATCAATTGTGTATCATTTGCAAAAAGAAAACAATAACAGCTCTAGACAATGGGAAAATAATATTGGGCAGCATTTAAATGCTGGATGGCATTTAGACAAGAATGGCACTGTGTGAATACTGCACAAAGCTTTTATCTATTTAATATCTTTTATTATATTTCTATCCAGCTTTCTTCCTGGCAGGCTGTGTGCTCAAGACATTGATTCTATAAAACATATTTTGCTGCACTGTGTGAAATATGAGCAAGCTAGGGCTGAACTGATATTACCCTTGCTGATACCTTTCCCGGGAAAATCAGAGGCTCACTATGTCAGGTTCCTATTGGAAGACCAGACAAACGCTAGAACATTAGCAGTGGCGAAGCTTTTATCGGTGGTTGCAAGAACCAA